ACACAATGACGTGCGGCCTTCTTCTCCCTTTCAGCTTCAGCCCGGCTGTCTCCCGGTGCCCAACGCTCGAGTCAGCTGCCTCGTGGACCCGCACTCGGACTGGCTCCAGTCTCCGCCCTCGCAGTTCAAAGGGGAACTCGCGTAAGTGCACGAGACTCGACGAAACCCGCTTCCCACTTGAACAGCAGGATGAGAACATTTCAACTATGAAATCTACTGTCAGTCGCTAAAGCCTACTTATAAACTGAAAAGAGGTAATTTAGTTGATTGCTATAGCAAATACGAACTTGCTACACTCTACAGCATATCACCAGAACTCGGGTTCGAGTCCGGTTAGAGGAGAGTGGGGAACTGGGCTGAGCAAAGCCGGGTTGAGAATAGCTTTTTGGCGGCAAGGCCAATTGTGAAACTCAATGAAAAGATGAGGCCCATTCATGCGAGTGTGGGAAAATTGCACCATTTCTCCTTCACTATCTTTTGTTGCCTCATAAAACAAAACAGCTATCACTTCAGAACAGACAAACAGCCAAGTAAAGAAAAGATTATAATCAGTTGCACGAGGATATGAAACATAGTTTCATTAAGCCATAATACATTCTCGGTCTATTTATTAGAGACCATTTTCAATTATTTTCTGTATCCAATCCAGTGCAACTAAGGCAATGCAAGTAGCGATTTGTGGGTTGCCGACAAAAGTGAATGTAGAAAAAAAGTGATGCCATTGAAGTTAATGTTACGGCGTGACCAAAAAGCTTTTCTCCCTTCGTGTTTATTGTAGCAAAATTCTACTATTCCGCCTTGATGCATTTCAAAGTCTCATTCAGCATCCACAGAAAGGCTAGAAACACACATACACATTTAATGAAATGACTTGGAAAAGCCGAGCATTCAAGAAATCCCAGCACCAAACAATTCTCTACAACGACGTCACACATGACAGGTACAAAGGAAGACAAAAATGCAAACAATCGACAGAATTCGCATTAGATAAACATATTCTTTCGTTGACGCCTGTTTCTACCGAATCGTAAATATCCTAATCAAGGTTCTAGGACCAAGGAATCACAACTCGCTTGTCAGTTGACCTGACAGACTATTGAAATGGTGTCAGTAGTCAGTTGTTCTCATCCAGTTGAAAACGGCACCACGGGGCTGGACAGAATCCATATTCACTATTCACCTGGGCACTATTGCCAGAGCATAATTCGACGACGCAACATCAAATACTCAAGCTTTCCTTTCGATTTAACGAAAGTCTTATGTACTACTGAATTGGTGTCAGCAACCATCTCTTTGAGGGGATACATCATTTGCAGTTTGATGCCAGTTTGAGCCAGACTCGAAAGCCAGACTGTGTGATTCCACGTTATTCAAGTGTGCTTCACACACACACACACACACACACACACTCGCATCAATTTCTCCCGGCCGCAAGTGGACAGTGGGATAGGCTATGATCACTCGTGGATGCCGAGCCTCGGCAATCCAGTCTCGGTTGTCGAGGCAGTCAACCGCAAAGTTTTGAGTGAGACTGAGGCGACCAGCTGCAATGTCACACGTTCATGGAGTTTGCTGCTTTCTTCAAAGCGAACATACTTTTCGGTAGCCTTTTCAGCGAGCCAGAAGCCAAAATGCGTCCCATTCTTTCCCACCCCATCTTAATTGATGACGGACGTGACAAGTTCTGTATGTGGTACAGAGTGATGATGACAACTGTGTCTTCATGTGAAATTCCAGCCCATACAAGGTGAAAACTTGATCGACAGTTGTGGCTGAAACGAGCTCTGTCCAGTCGACTAATTCTCGCGTGAATTCGTGTAAATTCATGTGTCTGAAACTATGAATTGGTGCCCATGTGCTTACACATTCGTAATGTTCGTTAAAATTCGTGTGTGTGAGTGTATGTGGGTACATGTTC